AAATATATACTGGGCTCTTATGAGGTCAACATTTGACTATGGGTGTATAGCTTATATGTCAGCATCAGAAACAAACTTAAAGAAATTAGACAGAGCGAGCGCTAAGAATATGTAGTGGGGCATTTAAATCATCTCCAGTAGCGGCTTTACAGGTAGAAGTTGGGGAGATGCCTCTAAGCATTAGAAAACTTATGCTTGCATATTGGGTTAACATACAAGGGCATAGTGAGTTACACCCTACAAAGGCAATAGTACAAGAGTGTTGGGTACATAATAAATCAAATTTTAGGAATTTTGGATGGATAGGAAGTGCAAAAGCAAGGAAGGCATGTTTACATACTATACAATACTGTCCAACAGTTCCATACTCTGACGTTCCCCCTTGGAAGTTTGTAATGCCAGTAATTGACTTGCAATTACAGGAAGAAATAAAAAGAAAATCGAAACTTATGCCTGTCTGGTGTATAGTTAAAAACTATATGGAGTTGCATTTCACCAATAAAATAATTTTATTTACAGATGGTTCAAAGAACCCAGAAAATGGTCGCACAGGTGCAGCAGTTTTCATCCCACAATGCAAGGAAAATATTAAAAAGAGAACAACAGATGACTTATCAGTGTATACAGTAGAATTGGTGGCAATAATATTAGGTTTACAGTGGATAGAACGAAGAAATAAAAACAATGTAGAAATAGCATCAGATAGTTTATCTGCTCTCATAAGTATTGGATCCGGGAAGTCATGTAGACTTGACATTTTAAATGAAATATATCATATAATCCTTAGATTACACAATAATGGTACGAATGTATCATTTATCTGGGTTCCTGCGCATGTAGGTGTGAAAGGAAATTAAGAGGTAGATCTTTTAGCAAAACAATCTCTCAAATCCCAAACAATAGATCTACAGGTTAAATTAAGTAAAGCTGAAGCCAAGACTATAATAAAGGTACATACACATCAAGTAACGCTGAAGCCAAGACTATAATAAAGGTACATACACAAAATCTATGGCAGGAATACTGGGATATTAATGATACAGGAAGACATTTTTATAATATTCAAAGCAAAGTTGGTGTAGGAAGAGAAATGGGTAAAAATCGGAGGGAGGAACTCGTCTCAGAATAGGACATACAGGGCTCTGCATTTAATAGGTAAACATACAAATGGTCTATGTACACATTGTCTATGGCAGGAATACTGGGATATTAATGATACAGGAAGACATTTTTATAATATTCAAAGCAAAGTTGGTGTAGGAAGAGAAATGGGTAAAAATCGGAGGGAGGAACTCGTCTCAGAATAGGACATACAGGGCTCTGCATTTAATAGGTAAACATACAAATGGTCTATGTACACATTGTAACCAACCTGAATCAGTAAAACATATAATAATAGAATGTCATGCCTATGAAAATAAGAGAATAATATTAAAAGAAGTATTTGAAAAATATAAACTTAAATTCATTTTGGAAAATATACTTGGAACAGCACTAAGGAAAACATATGTACAGTTAATTTCATATCTGAAAGAGACGGGTATCCTAGAACGGATATGAAGATCATAGAATAGTAGGGCAAACCGCACTAAATGGGTGAAATCTTGGATACTACAGCGGCTTTCCCGAACCTTTGTCTAGAACTAGAGAGATTAGAGGTCTACACGGAATACCCTGGATCCGTACGGGTTCGAGGCTATATTTGAAATGGTCAGCCGGGTCCCAATCTATTACTTCGGGTCCCGGGTCTGTTTAACATTGTGTGTAATAGCTACCCGACTCGGAGAACACCCGGCCGTTATCAGAGTCAGTCAGCGCTGTGCGTGTGTTGTTTTGTAACTTTAAACTTGTAAAATTAGGATGAGAAAAGTGTGAGTCAGTAGTTTTAAATAAGGTGGAAAAAACCACGAGCGACGTCATCAGAAGCAGGGTGGGCGGAGTTAATGCACACGCGCGGTGATGGATACCTTCATGAGTGATGGGCGTTATTATTGATTATTTAAAAAAATAATATTATGTATGAACCGTCTTGTTGTTATATCTAAAGCTAAGGCTGGTCACGTGTTGTTAGATTATGTGATGCGTTTATGTACCTTGTTTGTTTGTTGTAAATGGAAGCAATAAAAAATAAAAAAAATAGCAATTTGCTGTGGAATACGTGCCGATCGGGTCCAGTCGGGTCTGTGTCTTCCCTGCCGGATTCGGGTCCATCTTTCAAATAGCCATTTTTGACATTTCTCGGTTCTGCACGGGTCCAAGGGCAGAAAGTCAGTATATTTTGAGGAATGGAAATCCAAAGGAATTTAGAGAGGAAGTCTAGAGAGGTTGAACTCCCACCGCTTACGATGAAGTTAATTAGGTTTGGTATTTGTCTGGAAAACAAAGAGTTGGATTTTGATATTAATTTCTTGCTTTGTCTTGGAAAGTTTTTCATTCATAAATGTAGATGGTTTAAATCTAAACCCAACTTTAACCAGCGGATGAATGAGGTTAAAATGTTGTGCAAATCTTTAGAATTGGTTAAAAACAAGAAAGCTCTCAAATTAATTTCGTTTTTGAGGCATGTATAAACTAAGGTAAAAAGCCCCTTTTGGTTTTGGTTTTGGTTTGTTTTGTTTGTTCTATTTCTTTCTTTCGTTTCTTCGTTATTATTGGTTTATTGTGATCTTGTTGTCACTGGTTATGCTCAACCTAAGGCTGGTCACGTGTTGTTAGATTATGTGATGCGTTTATGTACCTTGTTTGTTTGTTGTAAATGGAAGCAATAAAAAATAAAAAAAATAGCAATTTGCTGTGGAATACGTGCCGATCGGGTCCAGTCGGGTCTGTGTCTTCCCTGCCGGATTCGGGTCCATCTTTCAAATAGCCATTTTTGACATTTCTCGGTTCTGCACGGGTCCAAGTTTCAAAATAATAGACGGGTCCGGGTCGGTTCAGTGTAGCACATTTACGGGTCTTACGGGTTTACGAATTTTTGGACCCGTGTACACCTCTACTAGAGAGAGCTGAAACCTCCGATTTTAACATTTTCGCTCGTATTTTTCCTGTTCAGTTCCACATGTTGAAGGAACTCATCAGTCATCATCCAAAGGCAAAACACAAACTACTTTCATTTTGAATAATGTGCTTGAGCTAGCTTGAAAGTCTAGTTCTATATTGTGGCAAGTCTAATAACAAACATACATATTTTTAATTGTTTATAATACAGTAACAATGTAATGCAACGAAGAAGTGTAATCAGCTTGTTTTATAGATATATAACTTACCTTAGCTGTAAGGTTTTTGATAATGCATTTAGAAAATGCCTACAAAAAGTGCTTGATTGACACTGGAAAATGTGTTGAAACCTTTCAGTATAGATAACTGTGTTATGTGCTTTCTATTATTTACAGGGGAACGCTTCAGGAGCCTAACCAGTTCCAAGTGGGGGTATCAACCATTCGACAATTCATTCCTGAAACCTGTTCTGCAATCTATCAGGTTTTAAAAGATAAATACCTCAAGGTATGCGTGTTATATCTGTTTATATATCCATGTAATTTTTTTTTTAATATATTTTCATTTTATGAATCCTGTAGCTGACATGAAAGAAGCCAACATGTGTTTTTGGTATTTCAGTGCCCTGACACAGTGGAACAGTGGCAGCAAGTAGCACATGGATTTGAGACTCAGTGGAACTTCCCAAACTGCCTGGGTGCTCTGGATGGAAAACACATTGACATTCGCCCCCCTCCTGCATCTGGATCAACATTCTACAATTACAAGCATTCATTTTCAATAGTTCTAATGGCACTGGTTGACAGCAGTTACAGGTTCCTGTATGTAGATGTTGGGTGCAATGGACGGATTTCTGATGGTGGAGTGTTTGGGGGGTACTCACTGCAGAATGCCCTAGAAAATAGAACTAACATCCCTGCCCCTGCACCACTTCCTGGTTCTGACCAGCTGGCTCCTTATTGTATTGTGGCAGATGAAGCATTTCCCTTGAAGGAGTATTTCTTGAAGCCATATCCAAACCGCAGACTATCAGTTCAGCAACACATCTTCAATTACAGACTTTCACAAGCTCGGAGGGTGGTAGAAAACGCTTTTGGCATCCTGGCAAATTGTTTTAGAGTCTTTCTAACCACCATTAACATTCAAGATACTGTCAAAGTGGAGGACATTGTTTTAGCTTGCGGACAGAATGCGCTATACATGTTAGGAATCGACCAGGAAGGGCCAGATCATGACACTGTTCCAGGAAGATGGAGACAAGACCCAGACTTACTGCAGGCCCCCCTGCCAAACTGGAGAGATGTACAGAACTGGCTACAGTCTAGAGAGGTTGAACTCCCACCCCTTACGATGAAGTTAATTAGGTTTGGTATTTGTCTGGAAAACAAAGAGCTGGATTTTGTTATTAATTTCTTGCTTTGTCTTGGAAAGTTTTTCATTCATAAATGTAGATGGTTTAAATCTAAACCCAACTTTAACCAGCGGATGAATGAGGTTAAAATGTTGTGCAAATCTTTAGAATTGGTTAAAAACAAGAAAGCTCTCAAATTAATTTCGTTTTTGAGGCATGTATAAACTAAGGTAAAAAGCCCCTTTTGGTTTTGGTTTGTTTTATTTGTTCTATTTCTTTCTTTCGTTTCTTTTCTTCTTTATTATTGGTTTATTGTGATCTTGTTTGTCACTGGTTATGCTCAACCTAAGGCTGGTCACGTGTTGTTAGATTATGTGATGCGTTTATGTACCTTGTTTGTTTGTTGTAAATGCAATAAAAAATAAAAAAAATAGCAATTTGCTGTGGAATATGTGCCGATCGGGTCCAGTCGGGTCTGTGTCTTCCCTGCCGGATTCGGGTCCATCTTTCAAATAGCCATTTTTGACATTTCTCGGTTCTGCACGGGTCCAAGTTTCAAAATAATAGACGGGTCCGGGTCAGTTCAGTGTAGCACATTTACGGGTCTTACGGGTTTACGAATTTTTGGACCCGTGTACACCTCTACTAGAGAGAGCTGAAACCTCCGATTTTAACATTTTCGCTCGTATTTTTCCTGTTCAGTTCCACATGTTGAAGTAACTCATCAGTCCGATCATCCAAAGGCAAAACACAAACTACCGTGACTGTGAATGCCTCATGATTACACTGCGGTTCTTGGCAACAGGTATGCAAGCTGAAAGCAATATTACACCTTTTCTTTTCTTTTTTATACTACGCATTTTAAGTTTAAGGTAGATGTACTTTCATTTTGAATAATGTGCTTGAGCTAGCTTGAAAGTCTAGTTCTATATTGTGGCAAGTCTACTAACAAACATACATATTTTTAATTGTTTATAATTCAGTAACAATGTAATGCAACGAAGACGTGTAATCAGCCTGTTTTATAGATATATAACTTACCTTAGCTGTAAGGTTTTTGATAATGCATTTAGAAAATGCCTACAAAAAGTGCTTGATTGACACTGGAAAATGTGTTGAAACCTTTCAGTATAGATAACTGTGTTATGTGCTTTCTATTATTTACAGGGGAACGCTTCAGGAGCCTAACCAGTTCCAAGTGGGGGTATCAACCATTCGACAATTCATTCCTGAAACCTGTTCTGCAATCTATCAGGTTTTAAAAGATAAATACCTCAAGGTATGCATGTTATATCTGTTTATATATCCATGTAATTTTTTTAAAATATATTTTCATTTTATGAATCCTGTAGCTGACATGAAAGAAGCCAACATGTGTTTTTGGTATTTCAGTGCCCTGACACAGTGGAACAGTGGCAGCAAGTAGCACATGGATTTGAGACTCAGTGGAACTTCCCAAACTGCCTGGGTGCTCTGGATGGAAAACACATTGACATTCGCCCCCCTCCTGCATCTGGATCAACATTCTACAATTACAAGCATTCATTTTCAATAGTTCTAATGGCACTGGTTGACAGCAGTTACAGGTTCCTGTATGTAGATGTTGGGTGCAATGGACGGATTTCTGATGGTGGAGTGTTTGGGGGGTACTCACTGCAGAATGCCCTAGAAAATAGAACTAACATCCCTGCCCCTGCACCACTTCCTGGTTCTGACCAGCTGGCTCCTTATTGTATTGTGGCAGATGAAGCATTTCCCTTGAAGGAGTATTTCTTGAAGCCATATCCAAACCGCAGACTATCAGTTCAGCAACACATCTTCAATTACAGACTTTCACAAGCTCGGAGGGTGGTAGAAAACGCTTTTGGCATCCTGGCAAATTGTTTTAGAGTCTTTCTAACCACCATTAACATTCAAGATACTGTCAAAGTGGAGGACATTGTTTTAGCTTGCGGACAGAATGCGCTATACATGTTAGGAATCGACCAGGAAGGGCCAGATCATGACACTGTTCCAGGAAGATGGAGACAAGACCCAGACTTACTGCAGGCCCCCCTGCCAAACACCACCAATACAACAACATGAGCCAAGCGAACAGGGACGAACTATGCCAGTACTTTATTTCAGAAATTGGTGCAGTGCCTTTCCAGTGGAGCAAAATATAGCTAGTGTGAATATGTATACAAAGTTTAGTAAATGAGTAGATATTGTACACTGATAGTACTAGACATTGTTTTCAGTTTTATGACTATAGTGTGACATTGCTAAATAAAACTTAATTTTTTTTATCAAATTGTTCTTGTGTTCTTTTGGGGGGAAAAAAGTATTCTTTACCCAGTCTTATATATACACACAGTCTATATCTATCTATCTATCTATCTATCTATCTATCTATATGAATAGTTCATATGCAAAAGCCTCTATATGTGCCGTTTGAAAATGTTCTTTGTAAAATGAGCATTTCTATCAGGCTCCTATGTTTGTTCAGTTATTTCATTTTAATGGCTATGAAAATAACCTATTCATTGCCATTGACGTGAAATTACAGAACCAACACATAGATAGGAGCCAGATAAAAATGTTCATTTTCACATACACTAATATTTCAAATGTCACTTCGAGGCTTTTGCATATTAACTCTTTATATACAAATATATATATATATACAGTATATATATAATGGTGTGTGTAGGTAGGTCCTTAAGCATGTGAAAAAAAAAATATTTATAACGTGTACATAAGTTTCAATTAGTTATTTGTTGCCACAACACATTACAGATGTGTAAATATACTTTGTGGGATTAAAATGTATGCTAAGTATAGTAAATGAGTAAATATTCTATACTCACAAACTAACTTTATCACCAGGAAGTGCCCTTGGTTTCAGCTCTAGGACTATTGTCTGAATTTGTTTTGTGCTCTCTTTTGACCAAAAAAAGAGAGAAAGCAATCAAAGTGTCCTGTACCCAAAGTATTTTACTTTCAAATGTGCAGTGCACTGAATATAGACAAAAATATATCCTTTGCTCAATTATATGACAATCCCAACACAAAGCAGAGCCTGAACATCTGTTAGCTAAATACCATGACAATCATATTTAAATTATAATCGAAATCAATTATAGGAATTATTTAATTTAATGATACATTTTATTAGCGAAGCCTTAGTATACTGCATAGCATTTCATAAAGAGCATCAATATTTTTATGACAATATAAACCCTGTTTTGATTTTGACTTATTTACTGACTTAACCAAACACTCACATTTTCAAATGCTATTCAGCAGGCATGTTTCACACTAAAACTTTTCTAATATTTCTAATTCATATTCAAACCAAAAGCCAGTAACAATAACGGAAGAAGAGCTCCTAGAGATTTGAAATGCAGCTTCAAAGTGTCCCCAGATTTAGAAAAGGATTGTCAGCCAGCTCTGTGCTTCTTTCCTAATGTGTTTAGGCTAGTGAACATGACACTCATGATAGATCTGAATCCAGAAAAAGGGACTTGAATAAAATCTATGCTTAAGGTTGCTTTAATCGTTTTTGTTTATAAAACACACCTGAAAAAGCCAACCATCTTCTCTGAGAAGTATTTCTAATAAACATAGGCATCTCTTCAAGCTAATGGTAAATTAAATTGTTTAGTTTAAAAACACTATACATAATAATATTATCATGCTTTTGCATGGATTATACTCCAATTACCTCAGTGCAAACAGCTCTGAAAATCATCTAAATATAGGAAGAGAGTAAAGAGGTGAACTTACACAGAGCCCAGGCAAGGATGGGATGAGTCTAAACCGAAAACTCTGAATGAAAAACTTAACGGTTCACAGTAACTTATCAAGCCACTCCTTAACACCACAATTTCCATTTTAGGAGGAGATGTAAAAAACATGTTAGAGAAAACATGTAAATACAGACCCACACATGGATTATAGATTTATCATTTGTTTAGCTTCACCATTAAAAAGCTTGTATGAAATGTGTTCACATTCCACTTTTGGATTATTGGAGATGTTTACAGCTTTGTGTTTGTTGTTACCTTAAGTTCTTAGTTAAATCTAATTTAGTTCACCAAAAATGAAAATTCTGTCATAATTTCTTACCCTCATGTCATTCCAAGCATGTAAGTGGTTTTACTTGGTTTATAAAGCTGTAAATATGGATATTTTTCTTACACAAATGCATCGCGTCGCTTCAGAAGGCCTTTATTAACCTCCCGGAGCCGTGTGGACTTCTTTTATAATGGATTGGTTAAATTTTTTGGACTTCAAATTTTGGGCTACCATCCACTCCCATTATAAAGCTGGGAAGAGCCAGGATGTAGGGTTCACTACATGTAGGGTAAATAATGAGAGGCAAACGCAGGTCTACACAGAAACCAAATGATACAGATGCTCCGAAGACAACAAGAGGCTGTTCAGTGCCAAGTTGTGGGAAAACACAGTGTTTGCTTTGCCTTCCTTCTGATGGCAACATTAGGAAAGAGTGATCAGTGAATGAACTTCATTTTTAATGAAGATCCAGACTGTGTCGGTAAGAACTCGGTCCTTTGTTCACTTCATTTTACTGCAGATTTGTTTACAAACAAAGCACAATTCGACGCAGGATTTTCAGAAAGATTGAAACTAAAAGACGATGCTGTGGCAACTATAGGATCCGACCGTAATGTTGCACCACACAAACTGTGAGTAACTGTTTTTATTACGTGGTCACTATTGCTTTGTTATTACCGATCGTTTGATATGTACTGAGTATTTATGTGTTTTAACATAAATCACAGCAGCGTCCATCTGTGAAGGATGTTTGTCAAATACACAGCTGTTAGCCAATCATAGCAGTGGGCGTTCAAGTCTACAATCTGCGTCCGAGATCTACAATCTGCCACGTCTATTCAAGCAGAGCGTTCTGGTGAGGGGGGTCAACACAGGACAGAAAATAGCCTATTACTTCTAAATTATCATGTGTTTTGATGTGAACATCTTGATAACATTATAAGTGGACCTCAAAGAACAGTACAAAATACAAAATGCAGTTCATGATGACCCTTTTAATAAAAGCAGATAAAGTGATCCCATGGCCTGTTCCAGACAGTACCTGCGGACATTTCCTCTCATCAGCAAGATCACAAGAAGCATTCTGGCTTCAGATCTCAGCTGCTCTTCCAAACAAAATGCATCTTGTCGAATACTGTCTGTATACAGTAAAACACAACATAGCCACACTCATACACCACATACAAGGCATAACATACTGTAAACATGGATAGACAAAACTAGCATTTTAGCATTGGTTATGTCAGCAAGAAAAGCATTTTACAAGATGTTAGGACCCAAAATGGTAATTTATATTAAACCTATTAGCAGCTTTATTCATTATTTTATTCACTTAGCTCAGGTTCAGATGTCCTGTTTGGATGTGTACAGTGTTGGGTTGGTTCAGTTATCAAATTACTTGGCTAATTCTTTCATTTATGCATCTTTAACACAGTATTATTTATATTGTTAGTTCTCAAGGGGTGGGTCACCAATTTTATTCTGACAGGGTCAATTCAATATTTGAGTTTAAGGAGATTTTTGTTTAGTTTTGTAAAGAAAAACCAATTGTGAAGCATTGTTTCTGACACATATTCTACAATCTTGGAACAATTTCATAAACCAGAGGAATCTCAATAGGCATTTTATTCCTTGACATGTTGTATTTCATATAAGAATTAAGTTCACCCAAAAATGAAAAATTGGCTGAATTTACATAGCCGATTAATCTGACCAAGAACTACCCACGTAGACAGGGCCAGCATGTAAACTTACCACAGTTCATTGTATTTTATATTTTGTGTGTTGTTTAGGGCCATTCTGAATGGAAATAAAATAAAGCAGATGTTATAATAGACAGACATATTAAAAAAGCAAGTAATAGAGTAGGAGTTTGCACGAACAATGCAGAAAACACAAAAATTAGGAGGAATGTAAATTTGCTGGTATTTTGTCCTTCTATCTACCATTGTTCTTATGAAAATATGCAGTTACACAATTAAAACCTCATCAAGGACTGATTAAAAAAAAGCTGCTTCATCTGACAAAAGAGTAGCTTCATCTGAGAGTGATTAGAAGTTCTCACATATAAACACAACACATTCAATTTGGTACTCCAATTTCACCTCTTTTGCCCAGTCACACATAGCCTACTGTGTCGCTCTTTTCCAAAGAAATTTCTCAGGAAGTTCCAGACACAAAAATTAAGCTACTAATAGCTTACAGCTGTTAAACTCTCTACCCTCTTTTCCAAAGAAATCACAAATATATCGAGTCAGGAAGGTCCAAATACCTTTTTCATACAAATAAAGCTGACATTCTTGCACAACATGAGTGGTGCAGCTCCCAGTGGCACATATTCCCCCACATTTTGGAAAAGCTTTATTTTGTCTCATCACAAAAGTTTATTACATACACATGTTTTTAAGTCCCGTCGTATTGTGAGGATGTCAGCTGTCATGCTGTCTAGTAAAATAACGAAGGGCTTTGAAGGGACAGTATATAATATTGACAGTTAGTGGTTAAAATGGGTACTGTAGTCGAAATTCAAGATAACGGAGAGAGTCGTTTCTCCCAACACCTCCTCCTCAGACGCTCACATGTGTTGCTAGACTGAAAACATGTAACAGGAATAAGCACAATTGACAATGAAAGGTAACGAGACTTACAACTGTAATTTGATTTGATTTGTCCGCGTTTTTATATATTTCTGGTCATAAAACCCTTTAGGTGAATGCCAAAGTTTTTTAGTTCAGGTAGAATTTACCATTTCTGTCCCAGATCATTTGCTGGCTTCCCACCAATTGGCAACCTGTGGTGTCGCAATACTATTTGGTAAATTAGCAGTGGGGGAATCACACAAACCACAAAAAATGTGTTTAAAATGATGGCCACAGAGAAATTCTGAAGAAATTTCTTGAAGTTTCAGACTACAAAATGAGATTGATTTCCTCAATACAACAAAGCTGAGATGACTGCAGACATGTGTCTTCAGTCTTTTCTCTTTTCCAAAGAAGTTTCGAGTCAATATGTTCTAGATGCCAGAATTAGACTTTACTGCTCAGCTGCAGAACATGAGTTTGGTAAGGCCTTTTATATACTTAGGGGACACCGCTGGCCTACTTAAAATAAAATGCAAGTACAATTATGGAAGAAAAATAATGACAAATGTCTTTGAAACAAAAAAGCATGTTGAATTGCACTAACTGAAAAAACAATGCATTGCATTAACAGTGCTTGCATTTTAATGCCTTTTATGGGTTTGCATTTTTAGGGTCTGAAATTTAACAGTTGTTTATTTAAGCTGTAAATATTTAAAAACATTTCACACACATTTTCATAATAAAAAATGCAATAATTTATATTCACCTTCAAGAGTTCACTTCCGAAATATTCAATCTGTTTAAAAATACAATGAATAATATTTGACAGGCAATTTTCAGTCCATTTTATTTCATTTTACAAATTCACTGGTTCAAATTCGGTAGAAAATTCAGCATTGCACATCCGGGAACTGCAGGAATAGCAGTAGAGTACTAATGCATGATCTCCATCTGCTGTTATTCGCTCACCAGCAGGTGGCGCAAGCGGGTGTTGATGAAGACCAAAGCAACAGGTAGAGCAAGTCATTCATTCAGAAAAACTGATTTGCAGAAATGGAGCAAGCGGTTAGTAGAACTTATGATTATCAGGGCCAGTATGTATATGCGGAAAAGCTGATTAAGACTCAAAAGCTCTGTTTACGTTTAATTCGGCATCTTCACGGTTACTCGTTTCCCCATGTAGCTACATGTAACCAGCTTTCTCTACCAAAGGAGATTATAATGCTATGTTACCCGATGCTGATATACAGAACTAATATTACATTTAAGACATATATTGTTTTCGGTTGTTAGTTTCCTTAACTTTATATCATGGCTTTTGTGACACTCCAGAAATACTGGGGTTTCCCTCATAAGTCACACTCCAGGATTCCCCAAAGACGCTTAACAGACTCAATGAACAAATACAGTGACATAAACAAGACCTCAGATCTCAGTGTACACCTTACTGATGATGCAAACTATAGAAGCACTGTTAATGCAATGCATTGTTTTTTCAGTTAGTGCAATACAACATGCTTTTTTGTTTCAAAGACATTTGTCATTATTTTTCTTCCATATAAAATACAAAAATAGCATTAAGATTGGGTTTCTGGTTAAATAAAGCAGTAATTCATGTTATAAAATCACCGTTTAAAAGGTCAGAAGCTATAGCTTACATGTAGAGTGCTGCTTTAAAGTTTGTGAACCCTTTAGAATTTTCTATATTTCTACATAAATATGACCCAAAACAATTAGATTTTCACATAAATCCTGAAAGTAGACAAAGAGAATACAATCAAACAAAGCAGACAAAAATATATACTTTGTCATTTATTTA